AGACACCGTTAGGCGCTGCATATGCCGCTAGGGTTTACCGGGTGTTAGCGGCCGTCGTGGGTTCCCTTCGGGAACAGACACGATATTTTACTCTACTTAGAGACTGGGGCACTATTCAAAGGGCTCTAATCCGGTGAGTACGTTATTCAACATTTCCTGGCTTGTCAAACGACTGCCAATGGAAAATGAATGTGAAATGAAGGGTGATAGCCAACTATCCGAAACAGTACAAAGATGTAAAAAGGTATGTAGATTACGATCGCGGCCTTGACCTACTGATCTCGAGCATGCCCAGACCAGCAAGATCATTTATTATTATTATTATTATTGCAAATAACGCTGAGTAATTACACGAATGCATAAAAACCAGCATTTGCTTCCGGGAAGGATTCACAAACATAAGACAAAACACCATGGCTCAATGTAACTAATAATAATAATATAAATAATAATAAAACAGGTCGCGTAATGAAGCAGCATAACGATAGATGTGCGAAGTCATGATGCCTGGTCCGCTTCTGTCCTGGGTTCACTACCCCGTGCGTTGCAGCCGCGAGCAAAACCAGCTCAGGCTGAGAGTTCCCTCCATGATTGCCTGTCCAAAGCGCGCATTCTGAGCCCACTCAGATCAGTCATGGTCTTCAGTGGCATGTCTCTGGCAGCTGTGCTTGCCTTGACTGCCGTGGCCAGGTTCGATTTCGGGCGTCCACGCACACCGGTGACATCTCGACGGAAGTAGTTGTCCATTGCCTGCTGTGGCGGGGCATCTGAGGGCATCCTCAGAACATGTAACTGCACATACGAAAAGCAGCTTCTATTGTCAAGTTCGAGTGGCAATGTCAGAAAGACGGTAGACTGTTCGTGCACGATGTTCACCCTGCAGGGGATAAGTCAAGGACGCAGCTCGGCAGAGGAAGATGAGTGCCGCGGGGTGCCATTCCACCGTGACTTATCCCCTGCCAACTGCCGCAGCTGATTAAGGCCTCTAAGCGTGCCCAGGCGAATGCCGAGTCGGGCTAGGCAGTCCTGAGAAAGAGCTGAGAGGAGAGTTGTCCTGGGTCAGCCCAGTCGACCGCGCAGGCTCGCGGTGGCTGAAAACTCTAACACGCGCTGTGGGGGAGAGCTCTTCTGCATTCTCAGTACGTGACCAAGGAACTCCCAACGCCGCGGCGTTGGTCAATCTCGAGCGAAATTGGTGCTGAGCCGCAGATGTCGTACAGATGCTTGTTGGTAATTGTGTTCGGGAACTTAACGCCAGCCATTGTTCTCAGATGCCTTCGATGAAAGGTGTCAATCCCTCTGGTGGTGGCATCTGTGAGACCCCATGTCGCACAGTTGTACAACTGCACTGGCTTCACATAGGTATTGTACAGCGCAACTCTAAGCAGTAGTGAGGTAGATTGATGCTTGAAGAGTGCGTACAACGAACAGAATGCCTGGGTTGCTAGGGCCTTTCTGGCTTGGACATCTTGCGCTGAGCCTAGCCGTGATCCCAGCGACTTCGCATTTCTCCATGCTTCGGAACCACGCTCCTCCAGATCATCAGCCAGGTATATCTTTGTTCGTTCAGTTTTGGAGGTATTAACGGTGAGGTCATGGCTTGGGAGGGTCTCTGCACATTGATCATGAACGTCCTCTAGCTCTTGCTCATCAGTTCCAATGAAGTCTAGATCATCCGCATACTGCAGTTCAGGTGGTAGGATGTCGTCAGGAGGGTAGTCAGATCTGATACCTCGCAGTGCACTCTCAAAGTAGCATGTAAACAGAATCGGACTAAGACTGTCACCCTGTGGTGTGCCAACGTTCGACCTAAAAGGGGGCGCTGTTCTTCCCTGCACACGTACCTGAAGGGTGGTATCTGACAGCAGAGTGTGGACTAAGAGTAGCACATCCGGCGTGGTAGGAGCAACGCTGACAATCGTGCTAAGGAGATCTGAGCGGTGTGGCCTGTCGAAGGCCTTCGAGAGATCTAAGCCGAGCCTGTATAGAGACCATCGCTTCGTCTCAGCAATGCTGCTGAGGATCCGTAGAGTGAACACCACATCAGTTGTGGCCCGGCCCCGTCGGTACGCACTCTGGGATGGAGGGAGGTAGTCCTCAACCTCTGAGGAGATCCTTGCCAGAGTGATGGTCGAGAGAATTTTGCGCATACCATTGAGTAGGACTATGGGGCGTAGACTTGTGCAGGGTCCTCTTGGCTTTCCTGGCTTCTGCAAGGGTATAAGCAGCCCCGATCCGATGGCAGGATCTGGTGTTGATGACTCTAGTGAACTCTGGAGGATCTTGGTGACGGCAGATGATAGGCCTGGGGACACACCATACTTCAGTAGCTCATTGTGGACACCATCAGGGCCTGGAGAACGCCTATTCTTCAGCCTGCTCATGGCTTTGCAGACCTCCGACTGTGTAACCTGTGTAACGACCACATCACCCTTGCTCGGAAGGGGTTCCGCACTGGAGTGAGAAAACTGTGTCTGAAAGTGACCTGATATAAGTTCCGCTTTCTGCTCTGGACGATTTACCAGAGCGCCATCGCTGTTCTGAACGTGGATCTCTGTGGGTTTCCTTCTTAGAGACTTGACTGCAGCATGCATCTTTGCTGTATCATTTCTCATTGTCTCTATTTCTGCAGCCCTTGACTCCAGCTTGGATATTGATCTCTTCTTGATCTCTGACCGTAACTCGTACAGGACCTTGTTGCGCTGTGCTTTAAGCTGCGACGTCACGTTGACATTGATGGAGGCCTCTATCTTGATGCGCAGTGATTTCTGCTGACTGGAGAGGGTGCTGATTTGTGGGTCATCCGTGATGTAGTTTGGATGGTGTGCGGTGGCATCGCTCACTCCGAGCACTTCCTCTGCCGTTGTCTTAATGATGGTGGCGAGATTGTCCCAAGAATCCGCTGCTGATGTTGTGATCGCAGTTTCTAGCTTCTGTTTGTATTCATCTTGCAGTGCGTTGTTGCCTGGTAATTTGTCAACTAAGATCCTGGGGTTCTTCATGCGTCGGACGAAGCTGGTTCTGCGGATCTGATGGAGATTGACCATGGTAGTAACCACCATCCTATGATCTGACGATAATTCACAACCTGCGTATGACCTACCGTTTCTGAGGCCGCTAACAAGGCGATTGGGGACAAGGATAAAGTCGATTTGATTGTAGATTGGTTGAGGCACTGTATCACCCTGGCGCTTGAACGCTCCTGTCCACGTCGCAATATGGCGTGCTGGGTGTTGAAATACGGTGTTTGACAGCTTCATGTCCAATTCATCCGCGCACAACAGGAGTGATTCACCGTTGTCATTGCGTCTGCCCTTGGACCAGCTTCCCAAACAATTGAAGTTGTCAGCTGCCCTTCGGTGCCCAACCTTTGCATTGAAGTCACCGCCGACGAAAACGTCCGCACGGCGAGAAAAACTTCGAACGAGGGAGGTTAGCGACTCATAGAAGTTGTGTCGGAGCTCAGGGTTACTCGATGACTTTGGCATTGTCGGAGCATACGCCGTAATAAACGCAAGCGGCGACTTATTTGACGAAGGGAACGAGAATAGAGCATACCCAATTCTGTCACTCACAGCTTTCTAGCACGACAAGAATGGCCGCAAAGTAGGGCCCACGGCCACGCCAACTCCGCCAAACCTGTTGCTTGTCGACACAGTGAGGAGTTGGTAGCCCAGTGGCAAGTCCCAGCTGCGTTGTTCCAGAATTTTAGTTTCCTGAACTGCGCAAACATCGACAGCACGAACCGAGAGCGAGCGAGCGAGTTGCTCCCGTCGATAAATTGAGGAGCAGCTACGGACATTCCACGAAGCCAGTTGGAACAATTTGTTAGTCATTTTCCCAGAAATGTAAGACAGAGATGGTGCGATGAGATAGGAAAGGAGAAAGGAGAAGGAGAGAGAAAAGAAAGGACATGGGCTTGTCAGCACCCAAACATATAGCAAGATCATGTGCCCCGAAAGGGGCGGCTGTAACAGGCAGCGTGGATCATTCATAACAAACATCAGCCGACATTATTAAAGGGGAAGTTAAAGGGGAAGTTAAGGCAAAAATTAAAATTTCACCAGTTGTAGTCTTCGGGGTGCTGAGTCGAATGGTCTTGGTCCGAGAAAGCTGAGACGCTCCCTTCCTACTTGAATCCCAATCGAACTCGCGCACTTCCACCGAAACTGGGTGACTGCGCCCTTAGAGATGGGGATTTGTATGCAAAATGTCACTAAAAGCGCCATTTCGTTCTTATAAAAGCACGGATGACCGCGATTGGCCCATATGTTGTAGTCTTTTGGACGCTGAGTCGACTGGTTTTGGTCCGAAAAGGCTGCGATGCAGCGTTCCTCCTTTATTCCCAATCGAACACGGTTGAACAAGCGGTCACGTGCTCCTGCGTACACCAGTCACCTGGTCACCGTGCCTGCAGGGTACAACTTACTAGCCTGTTTGACCTTTTTTGGGTGCAGTCCTGTCACTCGAGTTGAACTCGAGTTGAACCTTGGTGTGAAAGTTGTCGCCTGCTGGCGTGGTGACCAGGTGATTTGGGCACCCAGGAGCACGCGACCACTTGTTCAACCATGTTCGATTGGGAATAAAGGAGGAACGCGGCATCACAGCCTTTTCGGACCAAAAACCAGTCGACTCAGCGTCCAAAAGACTACAACATATGGGCCAATCGCGGTCATCCGTGCTTTTATAAGAACGAAATGGTGCTTTTAGTGACATTTTGCATACAAATCCCCATCTAGTAGGGCGCAGTCACCCAGTTTCGGTGGAAGTGCGCGAGTTCGATTGGGATTCAAGTAGGAAGGGAGCGTCTCAGCTTTCTCCGACCAAGACCATTCGACTCAGCACCCCGAAGACTACAACTGGTGAAATTTTAATTTTTGCCTTAACTTCCCCCTTAATTTAGCGTTATAGTCGTCCATGCCCCCCCCCCCCTCGTATGCAAGGACACCTTGACAAGGCTTGGTCAAGTTAGTTGGTGTGCATGAATGACTGGCACTCACCACGGATGGTCATCGTGACACGAGGCTCCAGTGCAGCACCAAGGGTATACGTCTGTAAGACATCTGGTGCACTACCTTGTGGCAAGATCCACGTGACTTCCTGTGGCGTAGCTTTTGCATTCAACTGGCAGTTGGTTTGCAGTGTCATTCCAATGATGTAGGCTGCAATAGCGCTGCTGTTGTAAGAAATGTAGTTCTGAAGGCGCACCCCAGTCCACGTTGCAATGTACGCCATACGTTTACTAGGTGGAATGAGTTTAGAGGCGGTCTGATACTTTTTACCAGGGAATTCCTTCAATAGCACTAACGTTGCGTTGCAGGATTGTCCAATCTCTTCTGCAGTAATATCAATCTGGACAAATGAACAGCTACTGTAGAAGGATATGTTCGGGAAAGGAATAATTGTCCGCGGTTGCAGAAAAGGTCCAGCACCGGTCGCGCTTGTCAGCTTATTATGATTAGCAATGGTCATAATTTTAGGACTTAGGCATGATGTGCAGACTGATGAGGCTGGAAGATGGAGAAAGAGACATGTTGCAACATTTCCGGCCAACATGCACACACGCATGTACAGACAGACGCAAACATGCATGCACGCGTGCACCCACACAACACGCACACCCGCACATAAAATACAACAGGTAGTGGTAGTAGTAGTAGCAGCAGTAGTAGTATTAGCAACAAGCCCTGACGACATTTGAATCCGTTGAGATCTTTGTCCATTGTTGTTCTCACAGTTTGCTGATTGTAATAAAACCGTTGTGTCGAGTGGTACAGTGTACTAGTTCTTGCTCAGTGCCAGAAAGAGTGGTCAAATGGGCGGGTAGGGGGCACTAAGGTAAAGCGAAGAAGGACACTTTGAAGTAGCAGCAGCAGTAGAGAGCGCTGAATGTAGCAAAAGTACATTGTATTACATGTATGTGCTAGTAAGTGGGAAGAGAAATGCGGACCGACAACCTCTGCCATTACAAGCAATTAGCCACCAATGGCACGGCCACTCTACAACATGCTCTCAGCTAGCCCACTCTGATTGTACCACGTACAATGTACCACCGCCAAGGCAGTTTCAGTCCAGCATTGGCATTGTTTAGCCCTCCACACAGCAAACCGGTTTGGCTCCAGTGGAGCTCATCAATAGGGTTGTGAGATAAAGGCGCATACATCTTCCTAGATACTACTGCTAAGTAGGGTGCAATTACACACTTTCTACTGAAGTACATAGAATAAGCATAGAAGTCCTGAACGGAATTCCAGGGGATCACTTCTCTGTGTTTGGCTGTGCTGTAAACACTAGATGAGCTATCATTGCTGGCGGTACAGTACGAGGACAATACTGTAATGCAAATGGCATTATCATGTCAAGGTACAAAGTGACGTGTGGAGTGACCGTGTGCTGTACATATACATTGTAGTGATGTTGGACAGGTCACATCTACACACACAAGATAGTGTCTTCTTACCTGTTGGTGTTGCTCCAGTGTGCGGGGGTATTACCCCGAAAACACCTACAATGAACACCACTATCAGCACTCCGGACTTCATTCTCGCAACTAGAAGGTGTACCTATCGTTCAAGACTCCGACATAGGACATTGCAGTTAGTTTGTGTCGCATGTGGAGAACTTCCACCGAAAGCTACCTGCCAAAATTTCAGTTCAAGATCGTACTAGCACTGTGTTCTAGCGGTTGTAGAGCCAAGCGAAGTTGTGCCAGGATTCGGATTTCCGCGAATGGCTAGTGTGAACTTGCTGTGTATGCGGAGGCTTGTTGTCGCCGGTCAACGGGACTGACTGCGCCCAGGCTCCATTCCGACGTGCGAAACAATGATGTAGGCGCAGCCTGCTTACTAGCGGTGATGATGCCAAGATTAAATAGTAATGAGTGATAAGGATCTCACGTCTAAATGAGACTTGCGCGTCTGGTTAGGGCTTGCCTAGTATTTTGAAGGTGATTTGGTTGATCTTTTGCATGGGCTTTTGCACTTGTTTGCAGGCTGGTAACAGTGTACCGTCCCAACAGTTCCCTTCAATGTTTTCTCGACGCACCTTGCTGCATTCAGACAAGGCTGGCAGATGATTGCAATGTTTCATAAACCATAGGCGCTAGGCATAGGAGTAGAGCCAGTAGGAGACGTTATCGATACTTCCATAGCATAGGATGTTTTGTGCAGTCAATAGTCTTCTATCCAGAATGCACACCATGTAACCTCTATCAGTGTCCAGGATTGTATCGACATGTTGTCCATTAATTAAGGGGGCAGCCTGGTCGTAAAATCCCTAAAACGTAGAATTTGTAAATTCATGTCGAGTGCTATATCAGTTGAAAGAGCATGAATAGCTGCAACATTTTGTCTCGATCTGACCAGCCGTTCAAGAGTTACCACCGGTATGGCCGAAAATGTGGCCTTGCATGCAAGGAAAGATTTTTTTGTTCCACGCTGTCATTTTTGGCAGCACTGTATTTAAATCTGGGCAGACCGTGTGCAACTTGTCGTATCATGGAAACACGCGAAAGTTTGCAGAATTTTGCTAGTCCAAAAAAGTCCAAAAAATCACGTTTTTAGCCATGTATTGGGCTGCACGTTCGCCCGCCTCCGTGCAGCAGGACTTTTGCCAGCACCCTCGTGACGTTGCAGATACAGTATGTGGCTTGATTCTTGTAGTTGACGTTGATTTAGTGACTTTGGCAAGTTTGAGTCGTGTCAAGAAGTCAGGTAGGATTCAGTACTAGGCAGTAGTGGAACGTGAGTGGTAGTCTTTGCCGATCTTTGAGGGTATCCTGGATTTGGTTTGCAGCGCTGTGGAAATGGCTTGCTGTGGAAGTCCCATCACTGGATGTTGTATCAAAGGTACGACCTCGTAGCACGTCCTAAACCTAAAAAATTCAAAAGTTGACTTGTGTCTGTGGGAGTCTGTGAGAGAACACCCACTCGTAGCCCTTTCCCAAAGGTGCTCTTTTAATTCACACTTAGTGCTTTTCGCGTCCCTCAAAATATGCTGAAAAAGTGCTCTTTTTTCAGTGAAAACAGGCAAAAAGTGCTTTTTTCATTGAAGCATAGCCTTGATACTTGTTCAGATATGAACTCAAGCTGAGAAACGAATACGCACTCTTTCATTTATGGGTCCACGAAAGGCAAAACAGGAAGTAAAGTTCAAAAAACCCACTTTTTACAGCATTGTGACACCGGGTACAAGCTTCACCAACTTGTTGCCCCCCCCAAAAAGCGGCGTGCCAACTTCCAAGGCCCATCGAGCACTCGGGAACTGTGATCGCATGCATGAGCAAACAGATTTTAGCACTTTTTCAGCTAAAAAAGCTCGAAAAGGGCGATATTCACCAAAAAACGCAATAAAGGGCGAAAGAAACGGGCTTTTCCAAAAAGGGCCAAAAAGGGCGAAAAAAGGGCAAGCACCTTTGGGAAAGGGCTACTCCCCAATGCCACGTCCACCCCCCCCCCCCCCACTGCCACCTCCTCCCCCCCCCCCCCACTGCCACCCCCCCCCCCCCAATGCCATCTCCACCCACCCCCCACTGCTATTTCCAATTTGGCTGGAGCTTTTCGAGAAATCTTTTCGGACTGATATTGCTCAGGTCCTTCCCGCAATAGGGCTTGAAAGTGATGACGTCAAAACGGCCAGGGAGTAGTAAGTTGACATCAGATTTCTATTTTGGATCCACTAAGGTGTGACTTTGCTATTGCCCCAGTATGTGGGTGCATAGCAACCCACTCATGTCGTATGCAGGGGTGACCTTTACTTCGCCACCAGTTGTAACCCCGCCCCCAGTAGCCAAATCAGTCAGTTTCACTGGCTACGTCACCTTGCTGTGAGTAAGACGGCTTGAAATGTGCTTGGATCCATACAAAAACTGGATCCAAGTGGATCCAGTTTTGAATTTTTGAAATTGTTGCTATGCTGTGACGTAGCACTTTCAAGCCCTATTACTATAGATTTTTAAGTAATTGGATAGCAAACGCCCAATTTCGAAATTTTTATGCACAAAGGGATCACAGATTTTATGTGGCATAGATGTTGGCCTAACGGTTTTTTTGAACTCACGCGTCTATATTAAACGCACTAAAATGGCGAAAGTTTGGCAAAAAAATCGTTAACAGAATATTATCAAACTGGCAGAAATTTGCTGATGAGTACATCTTGTCAAAAAAGGGCCGTGGTGTGCATGCCCTTATGAGGTGCTAGAGAGGCTAAATTTGGGTTCTGTCTTGTGCTTATTGTAGCATGGAAATCAATGTGTTTTACCATGTACCACAAAATTGAATTATGTCAAGTGAGAATTCAAGTCGGCAGGAAAAGCACGAGCTCCCACATAGGGAGCAACACATAATTACCGCAAAATAGAAGAAAAATCAATTGAATAACTTTTAAAACGGAAGAAGATTTGGTTGAATATCATCAAGGCCTATTTTGATGTGTTCGTCCATCGTTGGGGTAATTCTAATCCAGTAGAGTTAGATGTATGCATGATCCCTGTCCGTGATCTGGTACATGTATGTGAAAAGGCAATTTTCACAGAAAAATGAAATGCACAGAGATGGGTGTTGTGCAATTGTATGCTTCACAGATGCTATGGGAAAGGTAAAAGAAAGTTGGAAAAGAGCTCAACTGATGCATGTTTTAAATTTATAGCTGAGTTCACTACTATTCTCATTTTATTAAAGATAACTTGACCTGAGCAATGCGTTGACTTAGGCATTGTGCAATTGCATGCTTCTCAAATGTTGGGAGACAGGCAACAAAGTGTAGCAAAGAGCTCAACTTGTGCATTTATAGTTTATAGCCGAGTTGATTACTGTTCTTATTTTATGTTTACTCGACACACTGGCATTACTGCCAACACGTGGAGAGGGAACTGTTAGAGTTTGGAGACGCTTTTATCAGCGAGTGTTGGCTCATGTACGCCAGGCAGGCTGCTTCTTCGGTTGCTTTGCCGCTTTCCCGAGTCAGGTCCTCTTGTCATGGCAGTGAGCAGTGAATCATCATCGAGCGACACATTCATGTACTCATTGTCCCCCTCTAGGGATTTCCCGTTTTGCAGAAAGGCAATTGGGTTGACAATGACGTCATTGGTTGTTGTTGATGAGGTAATCACGTTGGCTGGTATGCCCGACCCTAGATCAATGAACTGTGGTGCGTCGTCTTCGAAACTCTGCTGCACGTGTAGCTGGGCCTGCTGTGCTGCGGTTGGTTCCTCCAGGGTTCCAGAGTGTGGCTGCGTGGCACGGGACATTGTCGGTGTTATTTCAACCATTTCGTATGCGTGAGGAGATGGTGGATTGGAACGTTTGAATGAGCGCTGCTGGGATTTTGTGCTAGAGTGGAGTTCGTTGGTGACGAAACGCGACAGTCGTGGCTTGCTATTCCCTGGCTCTGGCAAGATGTCTTCGTAGCTGGTACGTGTAACATCTGGGGTTTTGGTTTGCTGAAGTATTTCCCCTGGTGTGTCGTACGTTGTCAGCGATGGCGTTGCAGACGGTTTGCGTGTCTTTCGTGTGTCGGCAGGAAATTCCGTAACTAGCTCGTAACATGGTGTAGAGAGTGAGGATTGTCGTGATTGCTTGGTTTGAGGTGGTACCGTGGTACTGGGCGTACGCACTCTCACCACCACTTCGGCCGGGCACAGGTAGTCATTAGCTTCCGAGAGCTTTTCTCGAACTTCTATGCTGGTACGACGGGTCACTGGAATGCGCTTTTCTGGAGTTTCATCCACAGCGGACAGCAGCTCCGATGGCAGCAGATAGTCGGTCGGACATACGGAGAGACACGTGGCGGTACTGACGGCGGAAGAACGTCGCTGTACCTGTGCGCTGTCCATGTCACCAGAATTTAAGGTCTCTGGAGTGCAATATAATTCACTTTCCGTTGCTGCGATCATCCAGAAATCTTGTTGCCGACCATAGTCAGTGTTCGATTCAATCGATGCCGAGCGTGGACTGCGAAGCACTGCACGTTTTTCAGCCGCCGCGGATAGCTTTTCCTGGAGAAGTCGTTCTCTGGTCCCACCAGGACACTCCGCCGGTATCCCATGCTCCGGACTGGAGTCTGCCGTCGCTGTGTCCTCACTCACCCGCGGCATATTGTGAAGCACTCTTAGTCTTCTTGATCGCTGACTTCTTGGTGCTTGCCCTGTGTCTACGGTGTCATCAGTGCTGTGAGGTTCGGGTTGGTCTGGAGGTGACTGCTCACTGGGTTCGGAGAGTGATTCAAACCCCCCACCGCCTTCTGAGTTGTGACACAGGGTTGTTTCGTAGTGGTCAATATCCGTTCCACTTATGCGTCTCATGCCGAGTCCGGCAACCGACACGACTGAGGGCAGCTTGCGTTTCAACATGTTGATTGTTGTCTTGTTCTTTCTGCAGTGCAAGTAACAAACCAGCACCACCACACATGTGATAATGAGGAGAACTCCGGATGCAGCACCGATGTACGCGGCCGGCTGCGATATAGCCACATGTAGCGTAGGCGCTGCTGTGGATTCTACGGCTGAGGTAGACTGCTTGGATGGTGTCAATGTTATAGGTGGTGAGCCAGTCAGTGAGGCAGATTCTGTGCTGTTCCCTTCAGTGCTATAGCTCATTGCGGTAGAGTTGGTTTCCACTGAGGTTGTAGGTTTGATAGTAGGGACTGTAGTCGCTGTGGACGTGCTGGGCAGAGCAGATGTTACAGGTTCTGTTGTAGTAGACTGCACCATAGTAGTGGTTGGACAAGTGTACTTAGATGCAGTACCACAATAGTACTGGTAGGGAGTATTACCAGTTGCTCCTAACCCAGAACAGTTTTGATAGAGTGCCTGACAGTTGTCACATTTAGCATGGTCACACGCATCTGATGCTGCAGAACACACAAAGAGGCATAATGATCAGTACATGTACTTGATTTGGATATTAAAATGGAAGAAATCACGTGGAAACGAGTTATGGAGCAAGTTTTGTGCCCTGTTATCGCATTTTCTGACTGCTTATTATCTTGTTACTGTCGTGGATAGTTGCTTCATAACTCGTTTCAATGTGATTTCTTTTCTTTTAGTTATATTTACTGGCTCAGTAATGAGTATCGTGGCCTGGCACGAGGAAAACATGGATGCAGTGAATGGGATTTTCGGTCTTTGACCACTTGCTGGTGAGCTGATCTACTCACCTCCCACCGCTTCAGGAGCTGCATCTGCGCCTTGATCCTTGAAGGGTGGTGGCGTTCCTACGGATGCGGAAAACCCGGCTTCCAGCCGAGTCTCACGCGAACCGTGAATTTTTTTTAATGAGTATCCGAGTTAAATTTCCAGATTTCCAGTCAGAAACAGGATCATATTCAGCTCTAGTGGTAATCCCTAGAAGAGAAAAAAACACTGGAGATAGTGTGTGCGCCAGGGAGTTGTAGCATACACGACACGAGATCATAGAACCCCGAAACAGTATGGGATTCAATTCTGGATTCGGAGGTTCTACGTGATCCGTGGTCCATACAGCTCATGGTTCCAATCGCAGCCTTGACCTGACTCCGAGCATGCCCAGACAAGGGAGACCATTTGCGCCCCAAGGGCAACTGTAACAGGTAGCTTGGATCATAACCCACATCATTCCTTTAGCGTGACAGTCGTCTGCGTCCTTTCCCCCCGCCCCCCCCCCCCCACCCTGTACCCACTGACTCCATGGCCCAGATGAATGACTGGCACTCACCACGGATGGTCATCGTGACAAGAGGTTCCGACGCATTCGACTGGGAATACGTCTGTAAGACATCTGGTGCACTGCCATTTGGCAAGAACCATGTGACTTCCATTGGTTTAGCTTTTGTTTTCAACTGGCAGTTAGGTCCAAGACTCATTCCAATAATATAGGCTGCAGTAACGCTCATCATGTAGTCGTCAAGGTGCACTCCAGTCCATGATGCCATGTCCGCCGTATAGTTACTAGGTGGAATTCTTTTAGAGGCAATCTGATACCCTTTACCAGTGAATTCATTGAATAGCACCAACGTTATGTTGCAACGAGATCTAAGCCCTCCTGCAGTTAGATCAATCTGCACAAATGGACAGCTGCCGTAGAAGGATATGTTCGGGAAAGGGATAATTGTGCGTGGATCCTGAAGTGATCCAGCACCAATCGCCTCTTTCAGCTTATCATGATTATGAATGATCAGATTTGCTGTAGTTTGTGATGATCTGCATGCTGATGACCCTGCAATTTGGAGAGAAACGCATTGCAATATTCCCACCCAAAATACACGCACGCGCACATTTATGCACATATGCAAGCACACGAAAGAACGCACACACGCACATAAAACACAACGTGCAGCAGTAGTATTAGTTCTTGCTCAGCGCTAGAAAGAGTGGCCAAGTAGGTAGAAGGCACTGAGATCAAGCGCCGAAGGATGCTTTAGTAGCAGTAGACTGTCTGTAGTAGGGTAGGGAAGATAATAGGGCTTGAAAATGATGACGTCAAAATGGCCAGGGAGTACTGTAATAGTAAGTTGACATCAGATTTCTACTTTTGGATCCACTAAGGTGTGACTACTTGGTAGTTTTTGCCATTGCCTCAGTATGTGGGTGCATAGCAACCCACTCATGTCGTATGCAGGTGTGACTTTTACTTCGCCACCAGTTGTCACCCCACCCCCAGTAGCCAAATCAGTCAGTTTCACTGGCTACATCGCCTTGCTGTGAGTAAGACCGTTTGAATTGTGCTTGGATCCATACAAAAACTGGATCCAGTTTTTGATTTTTTAAATTGTTGCTATGCTGTGACGTAGCACTTTCAAGCTCTATTGACCGACAAGCTTTGCCATTATGTAGCCACCATTGAATGGCACCGCCACTCTGCATGCACCCAGTCCACTCGGCTTGTACCTTGTAGATCTACAAGTACATCACCGTAGCGAAGACAGTTCCGTATCGACATAGATATTGTCTACACCTCCAGACAGCAACAGTTTGGCTTCAGTAGAGCTCGTGAATAGGGTTGTGAGATACAAGCACATACACCTTCCTAGATGAGGTTTACATGTAGGTGGGTGTAATTACACACTGTCTACATAGAATAAGCATAGACGTCCTGAATGAAATTCCAGCGGATCTCTTCTCTGTGTTTGTCTGTGCTGTAAAAGTACTTTAAAACAGGATGGGGATATCATTGCATGCCGGCAGCATATGTACCAAGACAATACTGCAATGCAAATGGCTGGCATTATAACGTCATCGTACAAAGTAGCGTGTTGAGTGCACTAGTGGTGCAGAGATGTTGGTGGGGTCAGGTCTAATCTACAAGTATGATCTTACCTATCGGCGTTGCTCCAGTGTTAGGCGGTGGTGTTTCTCCGAGAACACCTCTGATCAACACCATTATCAGTACAGCGTTCTTCATTTTCACAACTAGCTCCTGTACCTATCGTTCAAGAAACCGACATAGGAGGTAACCGTTGTTAGTTTGTATCACGTATGGAGAAATTCTACCGAAAACTACCTGCCAAAATGTCAGTTCAAGATCGTACTAGCACTGTTCTAGCGATTGTAGAGCCAAGTGAAGTTGCCAGGATCTAGGAGGCCGCGAATGGCTAGTGTGAACTTTACTTGCCGTGTGTGTGGAGGTTAGTTGTCGCCCTGCGGGCAGGTGGTTTCATTGTGACGTGTGAAACAATACTGCAGGAGCGACCTGCTTGTTAGCGATGATGATGCCAAGATCTAGTCCTGAGTGATAAGGAACTCACGTCTAAATGAGACTTGCGCTTCTGGTTAGGGCTTGCCTAATACTAGTCTACGAGTGATTCTGGTCTATCTCTTCTCTTTTTTCGTTTTGCATGGGTTTTCGCAGACTGTTCGCAGTGTCAGCAGTTGTTGGTGTTGTTGTTGCAAAACAAGACTGTTCGCAGTGTCAACAGTTCCGTTCAACGTTTTCTCCACGCACCTTGTCGCATTCAGACAAGGCTGGCGGATGATTGCATGCGATTTTATTTCCCATTGTTAAAACAATAGGAGAAGAGCAAGTAATGGAAGTTATCGATACTTCCATAGGATGTTTTGTGCAGTCAATCGTAATGCACACCATGTAGCCTCTACCAGTGTCCAGGATTGTATCGACATGCATGTTGTCCATTAGCTCTTGGCTGAAAATTCTTTATAAATGTCAGCTTATGCTTCCTATGCATTGGAAACCGCAGAACCATACAATCACAAAGCATCCAGTGGACAATTCCCGATTACCAGTAATTATGTTCCTCTTCCTCGTGGAGCATACGAAGCGTGCAATAGCAAGGGACACAATCCGCTAATGGCTATTCCATGTACTTATTGGTGAGAGTCGAGACAGTATTCGCGAAGCAGCTGCACGGCACCAATCACGGGGAGGAATTCTGGTGCACATGTCAGTAGGGTGTGCGGATAATGCTCGAAAAGGTGGCAGATTCTTCTCGAAAAGCAGTGAAATTGGCAGAACCATACAAACCTTATGGCGGGCAATTCCTCAAACTCTGCTCCATTTCTTTATCCACATACCAAACATGAATGAAACTTACCAGAAAAAGTACCGAATTCTGCCAATTTTTCTGCCGGCATTATCCGCATATGCCTGCACATGTCATCGCTCTGTACCTTCATACATGTATAGAAAGACTGGCGTGTCTCTGTGTCTCTCCGGACTCAGCACATGTACATGATTGTACTGTATATGCCAGCCTTTGGCCTGAATTTGGGAGTGGGTAGCCATTTCATTATCAACTCTATTCCGTTCCAAATCGGCTGTAACGTTTCAAGTTAATTTTGATAATTTTAAAAATCGACAATTGCCAGAGTTCGAGGTTAACCCAAGGAGTGTAAAATTGCGATAGTTCACATTTCAATGTACACGTTTATCGCAACCCAGCCTGCTTGCATGGCATTAAATTTATGGTCATCGCAGGGTTATGAACCTTTGCCTGCCTCGGAGTAAAGCATGTCGTAGCCTCTTGGCAGGCTAGACGTCCCTAGACTCGGCTATGTTTGTTTGAAGTTTTAGTGTTTGAAGTTTTATTTTACATCGCAAACCAAACGGATGTGACCGCAGTGTAGCTCTCTGTCCGTTGACGGCGACGCACGTTCGTTCAGCTGAAAGATTCACTAATATCCTCACTTTCTGACATGCTTTGACCGTTGCCTCGTAGTCAGCTAAATGTGGCCACGTGATTTGTACTGCACAGGACGCACATGGCATTATGCAGTGAGCTCAAAGCACAAGACAAGCTATAATACAGAACTCAGGAGATTCGCAAGCCACTGCTAACCCGTTCAGCCGCGACCGTCACATGCAGTGACGTGTTTGGTCTTCCGGACAGATTGCCAACAGATATACGGGACGGGGAAGCTACTTCGCTGCAAGTGGAACTGTTCATGTGAAAAGTGATACTGTCCGGTCTTGTAGAGGACAGACATGGACTGACGCTACTCCAGCATGCATCCGGTGGGCTCAGGTCACTTAGATAGGGGTTTTAGACGCGCATATATGTACATGTACAGTCATGTACACCGCACAAAAGATAGGGAGAGAGAGAGAGAGAGAGAGAGAGAGAGAGAGAGAGAGAGAGAGAGTATTGCTCAGGATTCACCCTACAGAACTATAGCATGAAGTCCAGGGAGTCGTCCCAGACTTCACAGGGGAATTGTGTTCGACGTAATTGCTCCCCCTTCTGCTCCTTGAACAGTCCGCTTTCGCATGTTGTTTTCAGACACCAGCAATTATATTCTGTTGAGGAAAGTTAACCACGGTCACTATGTAATAGCAGAGATATTGTTTGTTTCTTTTATTTGAATTCGTTTAGAGCACAGGCAATTCTGCCTTCTCACCAGCGGAAAAACCTCCGGTTCCTGCTAAGAACGAATATAATATTATGAGAGAAGGAAATATTAAAAAGAATCATAACATGATAATTCCAAAGCACAAAGTGTGTATATAATTCAAATGTGTGTGTGTATGTGTAAGCATGCAGTGAAGAACACACAGTGAAAACATGCAGTAATGTGTAGGGATGCCGAGCAAGGAAGGAGCGCGATTAACACTGGTTACAAATTACAATTATGCCATCGAATCACGCAGGCTGGCTTCATCCATGGCAACCGCTCGCCATGGAATACGTCACATTTCGTATTGCTCTTCCTCGACACTGCTAGTGCAATGGGAACGTAATGGAGTGGTCCGAGCAGACCTCTACGTCAATATTAATCATATTTCGGACCTAGCTGTCTAGCTCTACTGGCTTCAGTGGTATTCATTGCATGTTGACACGGTAGCGCGGACACGAACGTGTGGGGAAACCACGCGCGCAGGAAGCAGGGCCTAACTACTTAGCGCCTATCCCTCGGTGCAGTTAACATGTACGGACCTGGTATCTTGTACAGGCAGAGTAAGCGCAAAGCAGGGGGTCGTGAAAGCCGTTTCTGATTACACGTAGTGCTCATGCAGTGAAATATGTGCATTTAAAATATGCATGCGAGTCTGATCCAATTCTCCCACCCCACCAACACCAGCACCACCAGCACCCTCGCCACCACCACCCCTATCACCACCAGCACCGCCACCATGACTATGCTATGTTCTAGGTTTACGAACATGAGCAACATGTTGCCAAAAGGTCGGTCAAAAATATTATAAAAGTGTTCTGGGTACATTACCAAAACTGGAAGATGTTCGGCTTCCGGATGCTCTCAGAAGCTTCTGCAACCTTTGTGAAGCTTGCACGTCGCTATTAGGTGCTACAATGTGCAAAGTTGGGTTATGGCTTGTGCTTATCCTAGCATGGAAACAAACAGGTAATATGCCATCCTCACAAAGAGAGAAAGCAAGAGGATAACGTCAAGTGTAAAATGGGATTGAATACGATCAAGGCCTATTTTAAAGTCTGTGTCGATCGTGGCGGTAATTACATTGCAATGGAGTTAGGTGCAGGCGAAATTCTTGTGGGTGATCTGGCATGTGAACAGGTCTATTTCACGGAACAATGCACGGATCTGGGTGTAATGCAATCACAGATGCTTCACAGATGCTGTCGGAAAGGCAAAAAGTTGGGAAGGAGCTCAACTGATGCATTTTCTTGTTTAATATACAATGTAGCTGATTTTACTACTATTGTCAATTTGTACGGGTAACTTGAACAGAGCAATAAAAGGTGTCAGGCGTTTTGGAAAAAGCATACTTCACAAATTGTGCCAGAAAGGCAATAAAGTTTAGCAAAGGGCTCAACTTGTGCATTTGACGTTCATGGCTGAGTTGATAACTGTTCTCTTTTTAGGATTGCAGGACACACTGGCATTACTGCAACCATGGGGAGAGGGAACTGTTAGAGCTTGGAGACGGATTTATCAGCGGGTTTTGGCTCATGTGCACCGGGTAAGCTGCTTTGACGTTTTACCGATCCGCGTCCTCTAGGCGGTGAATTGCCATCGAGCGACACATTGATGTACTCATTATCTCTCTTTAGTGATGTCCCGTCTTGCAGAAAGGCAATTGGGTTGACGACGACGTCGCTGGTTACCGTTGATGACGTAGTTACCCTGGCTGGTATGCCCGACCCTAGGTCTATGAACTGTGGGGCGTTGTCGTCATAGCTCTGTTGTACGTGTAGCTCGGACTGCGGTGCTGTGGGGACTTCATCAAGAGTTCCACTAGAGGGTGACTGAGTGGTACGTTGCATTGTCGGTGTTATTTCAACCATTTCGTATGCGCGAGGATATTGTGGACTGGAAAGGTTGAATGAGCTCTGCTGGGACTTCGCGCTTGCCTGATATTTGGTGGCAAAGAAGCGTGACGGTTGTGGCTTACGGTTCTCGGGCTCTGGCATGACGTCCTCATAATTGACACGTGCAACATCTAGCGGTTTGGTGTGCTGAAGTATCTCCTCTGGTGTGTCGTACATTGTCAGCGATGGTGTTGCAGACGGTTTGCGTGTCTTTCGTGTGTCGGCCGGAAATTCCGTGACTAGCTCGTAACAAGGTGCAGACAGTGAGGATTTTTTTGATTGCATGCCTTGAGGTGGGACTGTGGTACTGGGCGTACGAACTCTCACCACCACTTCGGCCGGATGTAGGTAGTCATTGGCCTCCGAGAGCTTTTCTCGAACTGCTATGCTTGTGCGACGAGTCAGTGGAATGTAATCTTCCGGAGTTTCCTCCACGAGGGACAGCAGCTCTGGCGGCGGAGGATTGTCGCTTGGACAAATTGATAGACAAGTGCTGGCAGTGACAGTGGAAACTCGCCGCTGTACCTGTTCACTGTCCGTATCAGCGGAATTTAAGCTCTCTGCAGTGCCATACGATTCGTTCTCCGTGCTTCCTGCAATCCAGATATCCTGTTGGCGGTCATAGTCAGTGTTCGAGTCCGCCGACACCGAGTGTGGACTGAGAAGCAAGGCGTGCTGTCCAGCTGACGCGCATGGCTTTGCCTTGAGGCACTCTGCTGATATCTCATGCTCCGGGCTGGAGTCTGCCGTGGCTGTGTCCTCACTCACCCGAGGCATATTGTGAAGCGCTTTTAGTCTTCTTGATCGCGGACTTCTTGCTGTTTGCCCTGCGTTCACAGTGTCATCAGTGCTGTGAGGCTCTACTAGTTCGGGCGGTGACTGCTCATTGGGTTCAGAGAGTGATTCAAATCCCTCACCGTCTTCTGAGTTGCGACACAGAGTTGTTTCGTAGTGGTTAATATCTGTGCCACTTCTGCGACTCACGCCAAGTCCGGCAACAGACAAATTTGAGGGCAGCTTGCGTTTCACCAGGTTGAGTGTTTGCCTGTTCTTTCTGCAGTGCCAGCAACAAGCTACTACCACCACACATGCTATGATGAAGAGAACACCGGATGCAGCACCAATATACACTGGCTGCTGCCATATAGCTAGCTTTGGGGCTTCAGCGGAGTCCATGGCTGAGGTCGATGGTGGTGTTGCAGTCTGAGAGGTTGCTGTAGTGGAGACAGTGGAGGATGTTGTAGTTGCAGTTTCGTCAGGAGTGGGACCCGTACTGGTGTTCTGTGATGCTGTTGTAGTAGAATTTTGTTCGCTTTCCTGCGATTGATTGGTCAGCCCTGGTTCAGATTCGGAGTATTGACTCGTTGATGCACTATCACTACTGTTGCTAGAGTTTGTTGTTTCTGCTGCACTTGTGTTATAGATCTCACTCGTTGCGGATTGATTACCCTCAAATTCGGTCCCATTGGTTCCCACTGTGGTTTGGGGTTTGTCCGTCGCATTCTGCGAAAAGTTTGAGGGCAGGGACATGGAAAACATAGAGCCAGTCGGTTGAGCAGATGTATTGGTTCGTGTAGTAGTAGTAGACTGCACCATAGTAGCCGTTGGACAAGTGTAGTTTGATGCAGTACCACAATAGTATTTATCACTTGCTCCTAATACAGGACAGCTTTGATAGAGCGTTTGACAGTTGTCACATTTAGCTTGGTCGCACGCATCTGATGCTGCAGAACACACAAAGAGGCCTTACGATCAGTACTTGATTTGGAGTGTTTTCTGTTTCTTTTTTTTGCTGGATCGTGCCTGTAGGAGCCTGGCCAGTGAGTGCATGCCGTGGTGGTGGGAATACTATCTTATCAGGAGTATGGTACGCATTTTTATAGAGGATACCATAGACTACATGTACATCCTAAATAGTGTTTGATGGTAGGTCAGGAGAGACATTAGTATTGGGGAAACAACCGCTATGGGTAGAGATAGGCACACAATCGACTTCACCAGGAAAAGGAACTGGGAAAGAGACTCTGCGACTCTGTATGTAACCTAGACATGCACACGAAGACTGTCGTTTGTAGCATCTGGATCTAACACTTGTAGCAATTCAGAGTTGATAAACAGGCAGGAAAAGTGGCGAGGAGCAGCCGGGGTCGAGGCATTTATATTCTCTGCACATCTCGTTCAAAATTCTCAGGTGTCATTTATTTTGGCGACAGGAAAAGGTCCACGCCGAGTGCAGCCAATGTTTTTAGGGGATTTGTTAGCTCTATACGATTGCAAGAAACTTCGAATTCAATGCAATCAGTCAAGGGAAGTGAACTGCCTGAAAATCGAAAATTCCAAACCCACCAGGACTCGAACCTGGGACCTTGCTTGTCATAGGCAACGCTTTAACAATCCTGAGCTACAGGACCAGGCATAACCTAGCGACCCTGCTGAAGGTGTCACTCCACTCGCAGTTCCCAACATCCAACCACACATCCTGATGCT